GTCATGAAGAAATTTGCTTCTCAGTAACAGAAGAGCAAAATTTATYTACTAAAAATAAAACACTACATGACATTGTAATGCTGTTTTATTATTGTCATTTGTTTAATAAATACACTGGCGTGATACAACTTAGAACAAGTTTGATTGCTTTTTGGGATATGTCTATTTTGGAGTTGTAGCCCACCTGGAGAAAATTCCACCAGCTGCCACTGGTTGAATCTCATTTCTGCTGCTGTAGGTTTAAATATTTTATAGTAAAAAAAAAAAGTCGTATTTACTTCATATCTCACAATGCTGAAGCACCTTATTATTTACAAAGAGACAGCCTTTTTGTGCAGGAAATGATTGAAAAATGATTTAAGATCACCCTGAGTATGYCACAACCCTTGAATGCAACAAAATTGAATTTAGCAGGATCTCCTGAGGGGAGGCAACAATAACTTGTTTGAACAACCACATGAAAACATCATATAACGAAGTATTTCCTTTAACCTGCTCCTTGTTGGAATAAATAATCTATGTTGACTGCATCTTCTGAAAAAACAGTATTTGGTTATGAATTGACAGAATGAGCATGCATAAAATTGCGTGCCTTTTGAGCATACCTTATAAAGATCCAAAGGCAGTAAGAGGAGGATCAGCAGGTCACTGACAGCCATGCTGCTCAGGTACAGGTACGTGGAACTTCTCATGTGTGGGCGGAGCCAAACTACCAGGATGGTTAATATGTTCCCAAGCAGGCCAAATATCATCAGTGAGATGTAAATCACTGTCACACAAACTAGAAATAAATAAGTACAAAAAGTGTTTAGAAAGAACCAGCTTATAAACATCAAAACCCAACCTCAGAACAAGCAGAAGATAATGAATGGTTAAATGGATGGACAGAACAAGACTTTGTCTCGGTGCACAAAGGTCTATAAAACATGCTTCATGGAGTTTTGTGTGGAAGAACTTGACTTTGACATCACCAAGCATCTGCGTTGCTAAACACAGTGCACTCCTGCATTCTTAAACAAAAGCTTTTAAAAAAATGACCAGACAAATGAAAACATGATTTTTTTAAACTCACCTAACTCAATCAGTCCAAACATAGGTTCCTCCCAGTAGCAGTCTTGGTTGGTGCAGTTCTCAGAGAACCTGGATGCTAAGCTACAGTTTGCTCCGTCACACTCACCGCTCGTGTCTCCCAAGTTGTTTAGGTCCATGATGGTGCTGTGTGTGGGTAGAGCGTGAGGGTGACAGAAAAGTGGAAAGCACTGTGTCCCCCAGGTTACAGGGTGCTGAGGTGACGCATGCACATAGATTTCCAATGAGGSTTGATAACCACCAGCATGGAACGGGGATTAGTCAAGGTGGAGAAGTGTAGTCTGGTCAAAACTAAGGGGAGAAAACCATAGACGTGTCATTCAGTAAAATGTCTACAAATTAATTTATTATAAAATAAATACAAGCCATGGTATCTGTACAGAACGTGAGCTTTTATTTTATGCAAATTATAGATTCAACATGAGGAGGCAGCTCTACACTTGATAAATACAAGCCTGAAAGACAGAACAATATGTACCTAATTATGATTGGGGTAGTAGCTACTTGTTAATATTTTCTGTATCCCTGTCATTATATTTTAGCAATAATACCAATTGAAACCCACAAACAACTTTTTTTGCACCTAAAATACTCACAATTAAAAAATAAGTTTGACAGTATAAATATACTGTAGGCTAATCCTAAATAAAATAAAATGTACTTACAGACCGAGAGGAGCAACGGCACCTGATGTACAATATCTTCACCGCAGACGCACACACTTGCTATTTGACCGTGACTTACACGCCTTTGAGCTCCCTCTCTTTTCTCCCCCTCACCTTCTCCTCTCACACCCCACTTTCAAATATTGTAGTTAATACGTACGCTTTGAATATATTTTAAACTAGAACAAATGATATTATTGTTTGTATTCTTGTTAAAAAATTTACAAGTCAACATTTTAGTTTTGAGTCTGTTTTAAGCTTTAGAAAACTACCTACTTTTCATATCTTTTAGCCTGATACAATCAAATATATTTTTTCTCATTCTACACTCAGAACATCATAAAGACAAGATGAAAACTGAACTTATATAATTATAAACAATATAATAAAAAAACTTATATATTTTTGTCAATTTAGTCCAAAAAAAACCCTGAAATATCACATTTCCTTAAGTAATCAGAACCTTTGCAACGACACTTAAAATTTTGCTCACGTGCCCCCATTCCTCTTGATCGCTGCTGAATTTTTTTCTACATCATGAGTGGAATCCACTTGTGAATTTATTTTTTTTAGATAGACAAGAAAGAAGACGAAAGAAAGGAAAAAAGAAGGAAAGGAAAGAAAAGTTACAATGTAATGGAAAAAAGTGAAAGAAAGAATTGATGATATGTGAGATATACCGTACGTCAAGAAAACAATACAATCCATCCAACATCGGTCTGCACACCTGCAAAGAATTAAAGTTACAAAACTTAGCAAAAGCTTACATATATAGTACATTCAGACAGATGAACAAACACTCACATATATACCTGGTGATCATTCAGAACCCCTCGGATCTGAACACCTGTCTGCGTGCGGTTGTGAGCGAGCATAAATTTACAGGATTTCTCCAACGGAATGTACAATAGTGACTGTGGGGAGTCCCAGAGCCGACCCCCAAGGCACGAGGCAGACATAAGGGGAGGCCAGAGCCAACGACCCCAGGATGAACCCAAAGCACCGGGCCCCATGGTACACCAACGCGAGGAGAGCCACACACCCACCCCCAGGTCAAACCATAGGGGAGACCCAGGAGAACCCCACCAGCGACCACACGCAGCAGCCCCACAATGGCCCGCAGCGATGAGCATGCAGGCCCCCGCCGGCACCCGCTGRGCTAGGGCAAACACGGGCATAGGCACAGAGGGCCCGGCCCCCAGGGTGCCCCCCCCCAAGCCAAGAGCTAACAGGGCCAGAGGACCCAAGCCCCAACAGGCAGCCACCAGGCCGAGCCAGCTCACACCCGAGCACCCAGACCCCAAGAGCCATCCGCGCGCCAGCGGGCAAGGCACCCCCACCAGAGGGCGGTATGGGATGGGGGCGACAAACGAACCAGGGAAGGGGGAAGTCCACGTCCCAGCCTGACACATACCCACGCATACACAAACACAATCACACAGTCCCACCCTCATCCTCGCACCCACTCATTCAAAGACATACAATATAGACACCACACTCCCGATGCACACTCTATACCCCCCAGGTCCAGGGTATGCCCCCGCCCCCCACAGAGGGCGGCCCACACCCGAACCCAGGAGGTAAATCCATTTGTCCTGGGGTGGAGAGGAACAGACAGCCAAGCCCCGGCCTGGACTGAATTAATTTAAGTGGCTCTTTTTTGAAAAATCACTTCTCTACAGAAGGTCTCCTATTGCTGACAACAAGAGCAACAACCAAACCATGAGGAGAGACAAGCAACAATCGGATTTTTTTAAGGGTTTTATTTCAGAGTAAGAAGAACAGATTAAAATACACATTTTATTCTGTCTGAGTAAAAGTGTTCAACACAAACATTTACAAAACTAAACAACATTTGAGTTAAAAAAATGTAATACTTTACTACTGGTACTTTTCATATTTAATAAATAGCACAATATGGGCTTGTTTGTGAAATGCAGAGTTTTATCAGTGTGAATGCCTTATGGCATGGACTTTTGGTATTTTTGCTATTTATACTTTTTCAGCTATTTCACTTTTTTAGCCACTTTTTTGCCATTGAAAATGAATGGGGCTATTTTCAACATCCTTAAAATCCTTCAAAARGTTTCTAAATCTTTACAGCACCTTACACAATTTGTTCTGCTCACGCTCTTTTARAAAGTAACGCATTACACCCAACACTGTTTACTAAGAAAAATGTTGACGTGTTCAATACTTATTTTACCCGCTGCATGTTTCATACCCAGAGCTGCGTGCTGAAATGGACAGCATACTGCTTAATCCAAACTTAACTTAATTGTACACATTTTACAATATACCAACATAATAGAGGGAAATGTGGCCACTGTGGACAGACTGAAAGAACATGTTATACCGAAATGTCATAAATATGAACAAGAAAGAATATTTATGAGGAGACAGTTTGCAAATATTAAGGATATTTTTAACATAACAAACACACTGCAATAGCAAAACTATAAATATAATTTTTAACAGTATTTAAAGGWACAGTGTGTAGGATTTTGTCAAGTCTTTTAGTCGAAATTGAGATAATCACTAATGACAATAATAAAAAAACATGTCTAATCATTGCAGACAAAGACCTTGTTTTATTATTTTTACCTTATAAAAAGCTGTTTATATCTCCATGGTCGCGGGTCGCCACACAGGCAGCCGCCATCTTGTCTACGAAGGCTCATGAAGGACAAACTGCGGTGGCGGCGTCAAAAACGGTTTTAGTTGTAAATACTATAAATGTAAAATTTGTTGTCTGTCATTGTAGCTGGGATAATTTTACTTATTAAAGCTCATAATCTTACCACTTGAAACCAGGGGTGGAAATTAGCACCCGCCACTGGCCACATGCGGGTAAAATTATGAAGTGGCCTGTAGATCTGAACAACACACCCGCCACGGTGGTGGGTGTGAAATGAACTAAAAATAAATAAATAATTAAAATGCGTTCAAATCATGCTACGGACTTTTGTCAAAACTTCAGTTTCGTTTTTGTTTTGCATTTCAGAGCCTGTAGGATGTTAAAAAACATTAAATAACATCAAARAAACCCGCTCTGCAGCTACAAATGTTCTCCCCTCCTTTCCTGCGCGCGGTCATCTGTGGTCCGTCTGCCCACTTCACCAGTAGATGGTGGTAATGCGCACCCTCAGTTTTTGACCAATGTAATAAACTCCACAGGAAGAAGAAGAAGGGAAAATAATCCATCCCATGCCACGGTCATAACGTATTTCCGGTAAAATWTTTGCCACACTCCTCCCTTCCACTACCTGCTCACTGCCTATGTTTTTAGCGTTAGCTGCTAGTATTAGTCCGTGAAAAAGTCACAAAAGTTAAAGCATCTGTGACTACTGGTATAAAACTGAGTTCTGTTGTGTGCCGTTGTGTCCACTAACCAGCAGGTACGATCAGTAGTTAGTTTTTCTCCATTTTCCTTTAGATGAGGAGGTGACAGCWGTGGATCATAGCATTACAGGGAAAACTTATCTTTAAAAGCTCACGCTTGCATTTGTAATCAGCATTTCTAACCTGAGGATATTCAAGAGTCAGCATCAGAAATGAGAAGACGGAGGTTACAAAAGGGAAATGTACATTTATCCCCTTTTACTGCCAAGACGAGAGAGGAAAGACCACCTTCACACACAGCTAGCAGGAAGCTAACACACAGCAGCCGGTAAAGGTAGGTGTGTGTGCGCACGTTTGTGTTATATGAAATGTTTTTATGTGACTTTGTCATGAGTTTTATGCAAAAGTAAAAACTTTTTAGAGTGTATATTACAGCGTAGACTAAAGCTAAGTGACAAGCCGCAGAACCTCCGTCTGACAATCATTACGTTTTCAGTTCACCAACGTCGGGGGAAATGATCCAAATCAAACAAGCCCATCAATTTAAAGCCCAGACTCTGCTTTTTCCAACAATAGAAGTGTCACAGCTCTATGTGAAAAATTCACAGAACAAGAAGCCACAGAAAAGCGAAAAAGGCTAAATTCTGGAACCATAAACACGAATGTCTTTCCTTTGTTTTATGACTTTAATCCACTTTAGAGTGATTTTTTTTCCACTTGGCTGGACCTGTACATCTCCTGTGTTAATGCTGGTACATGTAATATGTTAATTCTGTACTGTGGAGATCATTAAGAGTCGTTGTCAGGTGAAAAAATCTTTCGCTGACACTGTGTTGACTGTAAACTGGAAGTGCTGGGAGTGGCATCCAGTGTTGGGCCGGATATCCGTGGCATATAGGCTATTACCCAGTATTATTATTGATTTGTCTTTGCTGAATAAATGTAAAAAAGATAATATACCAGATCCATACACAATACAAGCATATCTAGACAATAAATAGTATGGATGTGTTCAAATTTATACAGATGCATCAAAAGATACAAATAACAAACATGGGGTTTCATTTGTAGTTCCAGAATTCAGTTATAGAACAGGCAAAATAATTACTGATGGAGTTTGATCTACACTGGAGAGATGATGGCATCATCCTTGCATTGAGGTGGATTGAGGAAGTTCGACCACTGAGGAGTGTCATTTGCTCTGATTCTAGTTTTTCTTTATATTCATTGAAAAATTACAGAAAGTCAACAAATAATTTATAGGATTCAAGCAAAGGGTTTAGTAGTTAACTTTTATATGGATACCATCACATGTAGGAGGAATAAAGGGAAATGAGTTGGCAGATAAGTTTGCAAAACAAGCAACAAAAAAACAGTCGAGTTGATATTATGATATCATTTAGTAAAGCAGAAATCAAATCAATAATTAAACAAAAGGTCAAAGAAAGATGGCAGAAACAATGGGAAGAAGAAAGAACTGGCAGGTGGTTCTATYGCATTCAAAGAAAGGCTGGCATAATGAGGCAAACAAGAAGAAATAAAAAGGAAGAAATCATAACATCTAGATTAAGGTTTGGGTCATACAGGATTAAATAAGACATTATTTAGAACGGGAAAACATGCTACAGGGAAATGTGATTTTTGTTTTCAAGACGAAACTGTAGAACGTTTTATTGTTTTGCCCCAACTTTGTTGCTGAGAGAAGGGAACTAGTATATAGCTTACAGGACAATGAATTGAAACTGGACATACTGTACAAGATCTTTTGGACAAAAACTCAAGTGCTAAATCATATTCATTTATATTTAGA